GTCTAAGGACATACACACAAAAGTTTTTTATAACTAAAAAAAACAAGAAAGGAGGAGAATGTATTATCCAAAAATGGCAATATTATAAGTCAAAGGGAGAGGAAATGTTCCAGATTAAAAGAGACTAAAGAGTTACAACTAAGTGAAATGTGTGATTCTAGACTGGATCCTTCCTGGAAAGGAAATAGGCCCTGAAGTACAATATTGAGCAATCAACAAAATTCTAGTATGCAAGAAAATTAGGAAAAATATCAACGTTGATAACTATACTGTTATTATGTAAGAAAATATCTTTTATCTTAGAAAATGCACATTGAAGTATCTGGGGATAAAGGGTTATTGATGTGTGTGTACAATGTTTAAATGTTACGGAAAAAGAATGTGTGTGTGTACAGAGACCATGAGTATAAATGATGAAGTAAATGGGGCAAAATGTTAGTCAATAGGTCCATCTGAGAAAAAAATATATAAATTTTTTAAACTATTCTTACAACTTTCCTAAAGGTTTAAAATTATTTCCAAATTACGGTTTTAAAAAATTATGGGATTAAGTTTAAAACAAAACAAAATGCTTTTTGTCTAGAACAGTTTTTAATCTTGTATTAAAAACTAGAGGCACTCACCCCTTCCCAGGATCAGAGAACACAGAAAAGATCATTACTTTCCACAGCTACTCTCTGTTCTTGAACTCACAGCACTGTCCTGACCATGAATAAGGACAGGTAGGAGAAATTTACAACTCCCTGAACTACAGGTTCACAAGTGTGAAATTTGACCATCCTCGTTTCTCTCCTCCCCACCTTTTTTTTTAGACACAGGGTCTTCCTCTGTCACACGGGATGAAGTACAGTGATACAATCATAGCTCATTGCAGTCTCAAATTCCTGGGCTCAAGAAATCCTCCCACCTTAGCCTCCCAAGTAACTGGGATTACAGGCACATGCCACTGTGCCCAGCTAATTTTTTTCCATAGTTTTTTTTTTAAATAAAATTTTATCTTGGAAAGTTGATTTAGGAATAAATGGTTTTATTCATGTGCCTTATTCCAAACAGCAAATAAGAAGCACCATTGGGTGGTATCGGACTCTAGCTGTATTACATAGTTGGCCACATTGTCCTCCAAGACATTTTTCTTGTGATTCTTGTCATTTCAATGTAAAGTAGACTGTGCATGTTGACTCACGCCTGTAATCACAAGTGATTTGGAAGGCCAAGATGGGAAGATTGCTTCAGCCCCGGAGTTCGAGACCAGCCTGGGCAACAAAGCAAGACCCCATCTCCACAAAAATCTTAAAAATTAGCTGGGCACAGTGGCATGTGCCTGTAATCCCAGTTACTTGGGAGGCTAAGGTGGGAGGATTTCTTGAGCCCAGGAATTTGAGACTGCAATGAGCTATGATTGTATCACTGTACTTCATCCCGTGTGACAGAGGAAGACCCTGTGTCTAAAAAAAAAGGTGGGGAGGAGAGAAACGAGGATGGTCAAATTTCACACTTGTGAACCTGTAGTTCAGGGAGTTGTAAATTTCTCCTACCTGTCCTTATTCATGGTCAGGACAGTGCTGTGAGTTCAAGAACAGAGAGTAGCTGTGGAAAGTAATGATCTTTTCTGTGTTCTCTGATCCTGGGAAGGGGTGAGTGGCTCTAGTTTCCCTCTAACATCCCATGCTGTCTGTGTTTGTATGTACTTGTGTGAGTGTTTGCTTATGCAAGAAAAGACGGAAGAAGACCGAGCTGATGCAAAGCCAGCCTTCTCTCAGGGTATCTTTCTTCCATACCATCTCTACTTTCTCAGAATCCTTGATCTGCCAAAGAGAAATTTGGAAAATGATGAAATGGTCACTCACTTCTGTCTTTTGAAACATGTATGTAAATGTAAACATGTTAAATATGAAAAATAAAAATTTTCCTCAGTAAGTTGAAAGAAATTTCCATTTAACAAATGATTTAAAAAAAAAAAAAAACCTGATTCTAAAGATATATATGGTGATTGTCAGGCCAGGCACAATGGCTCACACCTGTAATCCCAGTACTTTGGGAGGCCAGAGTGGGAAGATGGCTTGAGGTAAGGAGTTTGAGACCAGCCTGGACAACATAGCAAGACCCATCTCAACAAAAAATTAATTTAAAAATTAGCCAGGCATAGTGGCACGTGCCTGTAGTCACAGCTACTCAGGTGGCTGAGATGGGAGGGAGGATCACTTCAGTTCGAGGCTGAAGTGAGAGTGAGCTGTGATCAGACCACTTTACTCCAGCCTGGACAACAGAGCAAGACTCTGTCTCTAAAAAAATAAAAATAAAATGTATGGGCCCAGTAGTACCCTGTAATGCTACACAGAGAATTAAATGTAGCTTGTGTTCCTTTATTCTTCCTCCTGTTTTACCTCTGAAGTCATTGTTTTTGCTGGCTTTCATGTGTGTGATGATCTGGTTTTTATTTTGCAGAGTTTTACGTATTATAAAATATCAATAAAAGTATATTAATTTCTGCTAAACTGCAGTCTTTTTCTATAGGATTATAAAAACTTTCTAATTTTAAAGCCTCTTATTTTTTAAGATCCTAAGTGTAACTAGACCACAAGTCTTTGTACAAAATAAGGCCAAAGCCAGCTTGTACACAGTGTAATTTGACTGTTGTCCAATTCAGGGTAACATTTAACTGTTTCCTGGCTCTTTAGCTTCCCATCTTTGCAATACTTTAGTAGGAAAATATCATTTATTAATAAGAGGTGACTTGTTACTTTACTCGTATACTTTCCCATTGTAAACACCTTCCTTTCGTGTGCTGGACTCCTAAGAAGATTAAATCCCCTGTAATTTACTTGACTGATATTCATCTGTCATTTTACCTGGCATTCTGATGATCCCATCTTTTAACTTTATTTACTTATATGTTTCCTATGATAGCAGTAACATCTTAATTTAATACACATAAATACTCATTTTCACCCTTCAGCAAGGATTTATTAAGTAACTGTTATGTGCCTAGTGCTATGCTACATTCTGTGAGATATGTTAAAGGAAAAGAGATAGAAGTAGAATATTTAATGCTTTATCATTTACAGCCCATCTGGGGATATAAAACATTTACGTAAAAATAGCTTTCTGTATCTGAGGTGGTAATATAGAAGAACCTTTGAAGTCACATGTGGAGACTGTCCCCCATAGATCACTAGATGTAGGCAAAGGGAGAGTTGTTTTGAGCCAGAATCAATTTTTTAAATTTATTTTTAATTTTTATTTTTAATTTTTCTTGAGTCAAGGTCTTGCTCTATCACCTGGGCTAGAGTTCAGTGGCGTGAGCACAGCTTGCTGCAGCCTTAAACTCCTAGGGGCAAGTGATCCTCCCACCTTAACTTCCCAGATACCTGGGACTGTAGGCATGCACCACTACCACATTTGGCTAAATTTTTTAAATTTTGTAGAGATAGGGTCTCATGATATTGCCCAGGCTGGTCTCAAACTCCTGGCCTCAAGTGATCCTCTCACCTCGACTCCCAAAGTGCTGCAATTACAGGCATGAGCCACCATGCTTAATCTTCAGTATTTTGTTCTTTCTTGAGGGAAGTGGTTCTGTAGTTTGAACGATGTCTAAGTTTTGGGTTAATGAGCTGAGAAGTTCAGTATGTGCCAAGAATTACAGGTAAGGAGATTTGTGGAAAGGAGAATAAGAATGTTTTGTTAGATGGTGTTGACAAACTGGTTTAACTAAACTGGACATTGAGAAATAAGTTGGAACTAGCTGTTAAAGGGCTTAGGAACCTACCTAATATGGCAGTTTGCCCTGAATTTGAAAAGCAGCAGATTCTTACCTGTTAACTGACACATCAGAAGAGTGGTGGTGTTTTGAGATGAAGTTTCACTCTTGTTGCCCAGACTGGAGTGCAGTGGCACGATCTCCGCTCATTACAACCTCTACTCCCTGGGTTCAAGCGATTCTCCTGCCTCAGCCTCCCAAGTAGCTGAGAGTACAGGTGCCTGCCAACATACCCGGCTGATTTTTGTATTTTTTAGTAGAGACAGGGTTTCACCATGTTGGTCAGTCTGGTTTCAAACACCTGACCTCAGGTGATCCACCTGCCTTGGCCTCTCAAAGTGCTGGGATTACAGGCATGAGCCACTGCACCCTGCTAAGGGTGGTGTTTTCAAAAGATGGATCTGATGTGGATGTGTAAGATGAATTATATTAGGGAAAAGTCTAGGAGTAGGGATCTATTCCTAATTTAGGTTTGAGTGATGAAAATCTAGGTTAAGATGATGGCAATAAAAATGTGACACATATTAGAATGCAGATAAAGTTACAGGTTGCCAAGGAAGAGATAGGCAATGACAGTTAGATTGGTCTGGAAAGAAATGATCAGAGGCCGTAGAGCACTTTCCTTGGAGTGGTAAAGGAAGAGGATTAAGGAATAGGAGGAAGTTGGGGTTGTTGGGGGTTACACATTTCAGTGATTTTTCTTAAGGGAAGGCTGGGTCAAATGAAGAGTTCCTTCTTAGCCACCTCTTCAGGATGGCTTCTCTTTGAATCAGAAAGAAAAAAGATAGTGGCCAGGTGCGATGGCTCACGCCTGTAATCTTAACACTTTAGGAGGGTGAGGCAGGCAGATCATTGAAGGTCAGGAGTTCCAGACCAGCCTGGCTAACATAGTGAAACCCCATCTCTACTAAAAATACAAAAAAAAAAAAAAAAAATGAGCTGGGCATGGTAGTACGTGCCTGTATTCCCAGCTACTGGGAAGGCTGAGGCAGAAGAATCCCTGGAGCCGATTCAGAAGGTGGAGGTTGCAGTGAGCTGAGATCATGCCACTGTATTCCATCCAGCCTGGTGACAGTGAAACTCCATCTCCCCCGCCAAAAAAAAAGAGAGAAAAAAAAAGACGGTAGTGAGGAAAATAATCTACTTTAAGACCTTTCACAAAATTCTTTCACCTCTAGATCATTGTTTGAACAGTTTCTGTCTCACACATAACTTAATGCTGTCTTTCTCATTTTCACTTTAGATCCAGAAGCAGCAAGGTCTAGCAATTCCAAAATCACCACCACGCTGGGTCTGGTCGTCCATGCTGCAGGTAGGGTTGGATTGCAGTAGAACCTTTTGTTTTCTGTCACACAGGGGAGACCTCAGTGTTTATATTTCAGGGACTGTCTGCACTGAATGCTCTTGGACTGGCCTTTGAGGAAACGGTTACTTAATGAAGTCCTCCAACACAAGCACAAGCCTGGCATGCTCAGTGTCAGGTGTTTGCAAGCTAAGAATCGTTTTTGTACTTTTTTTTTTCTACCTCTCTGCAGAGCATCCCCAAGGTTTCTATTCTTTTTAATGTTTTGTTTTGTTTCGTTTTAGGTTTTGGGGTATATGTGAAGAACATCCAAGATTGTTGCATAGGTACATACATGGCAGGTTTTTTTTTCTTTAAAGAAGAACATATTGTAGCACATGAAAATTATATAATTCAAATTAAGGAAGTTTTATTAGAACACAGCCATGACCATGTATGTATGTATTGTCTGTGTCTATAGCAATGAATTAGATAAGGGGAAAATGGGAGTAGGGAACCTATAGCTAATTTAGGTTTGTTTGAGTGATAAAAATTTGGATTAGGATGATGGCAATAAAAGATGGAGAAAGGCAAACACGACTGATGTTAGAATGAAGATAAAGTTGCAGGAGGCTAAGGAAGAGATAGACAATGACAATGATCCATTTCTTTTGTTTTTGTGCAACAATGGCAGAATTGAATAGTTGCAAGAGACCAAGTAACTGCAAAGCCTGAAATATTTACTGTCTAGCCCTTAAGAAAAAGTTTGCTGACCTCTGCTCTAGAATGTCATCTGGAAAAGAGCCGTGGCACTTTTGTCCAGAACAGCCCTGTTACCAGTCTATATGCAAAGCATCAGTTTAAGCAGAAGTGGTATGTGGTGGAATGCAGAGGTCTCAGCATTGCTGACAGGGTACACTTTAGAATCATAAGCCAAACCTAGTCCTAGTAGTAGAATTCTGTCAGTGACAAAGGCATGTGAAAGGTGATACACTGTTACCTGGTCCTTTCTCAGTATAATACGATTTTCTAACACATTTCATTCATTCAACCAATGTTTACTCATTGTATATTCATCATCTATATAGAGTTCTAGTATGTTTTTTTTTTTTTTGAGACGCAGTCTTGCTCTGTCGCCAGGCTGGAGTGCAGTGGCATGATCTCGGCTCACTGCAACCTCTGCCTCCTGGGTTCAAGTGATCCTCCTTCCTCAGCCTCCCGAGTAGATGGGACTGTTTTGTTTCTTTACCTATATTAAGAGATGCTTCCTCTGAAATTCTTCTTTGGTATTTCTCTTGTTACAGTTTGATTAATCAATGGATTTTTTGATTAGTTGGAAAACTGGATGTCAGTTTTACAGTAACAACAACAACCAAAATAACTAACATTGAATAGTCTGGGCCAGATGCTAAGCTGTTTATGTAAGTTATCTCATTTAATCCTCAGGAAAACCCTAAGAAATACATACTTTATTGAACACATTTTAAAGATAAGAAGGCTGGCATCCAGCTGGACCTGACTATAAAGCTCACACACTCAGCCACTACACTGTTGTTGTTGTTTATGATATTTTATGTTTCCTTGTTTCTGAATGTAGCTGATGGTGTTGCTTTGGGAGCAGCAGCTTCTACTTCACAGACTAGCGTCCAGTTAATTGTGTTTGTGGCAATCATGCTACATAAGGTAAGCAAAATTTTGGTGTAAGGTTTGGTATTGAGTGTCTTCATAATTAAAATTTCTCATGGTCCTTAATGTTTTTTCTGGAATTTGGGAAATTTTTCTTAGTTTCATAATTGCTATTCATTTTAGAGAATTGGATAAATCTGTACAAAGCTTCTTGTTTCATTTTCTTAAGCTTTTGCTTGATGGGTTTCAATTTTTTTGTGTAGCCATATACACAAACTGTCAGATTCTCCTCGGATTTCTATATTTCATAGTAATTTTTGTTCAAAAGTGTTTTTCTTTTCTTGACCGTTTCTCTTTTCTACTGTCCAAGAAACACACACAAATAGGAATTTTTTCTTGGTAAACATTAACTCCTGAAGGCATAGCTCAGCTTTAGTATTCTGCCTGGTTTTGTTTTTTGGTTTTTGTGGATTTTGTTATGTTTTGTTTTTGAGACGGAGTCTTGCTCTGTCACCCATGCTGGAGTGCAGTGTACGATCTCAGCTCACCGCAACCTCCACTTCCCAGGTTCAAGCTATTCTCCTGCCTCAGCCTACCGAGTAGCTGGGACTATGCGCAAGTGCCACCACACCCAGCTAATTTATTTTTTTTGTATTTTTAGTAGAGACGGGGTTTCAAATGATAATCCTGCCTCAGCCTCCCAAGTAGCTGGGATTACAGGCACCCGCCATCACACATTTTTGTATTTTTAGTAGTGATGGGGTTTTACCATGCTGGCCAGGCTGGTCTCAAACTCCTGACCTTAGGTGATCTGCCCACCTCGACCTCCCAAAGTGCTAGGATTACAAGTGTGAGTCACTGTGCCCGTCCTTTTGTGAGTTTTTCTTTGTATGAGAAAACATAGTCAAATGGCATGTACTTCTTGACGTAGAAGGAATCCATACTTCTAGAGTGATAATAAGAGGTTATTTTTTATTTCCAGGCACCAGCTGCTTTTGGACTGGTTTCCTTCTTGATGCATGCTGGCTTAGAGCGGAATCGAATCAGAAAGCACTTGCTGGTCTTTGCACTGGCAGCACCAGTTATGTCCATGCTGACATACTTAGGACTGAGTAAGGTAAGCGAATCTACTCCTAGCTATCTAAACAAGTGTCTTTGATCTCTTAGGACGTATGGTCTCTAGGATTGAATTTTTCCAATAAGTTTCTCTCTCAAACTAATGATAAAATTAGGAGTAAAAATTGTACAGGGTAAATATCCTAGTTCCAATTTGTCCACTTCAGAAATTTAGCATTTCCTTATTCATTTAATTTGAAAACTACTTCCCTATCCGTTCCAAGAATATTTGCATAAATATGATTGTCCTTCAATATTTAAAATAGTGTAACTTAACCAGCCGTGCCAGTTTCATTTGACAGACACCTAATAAGTCAAACCCGTCCATATTTAATGTTGAGGTAGACACATGAAGCATGAGTAACAAGCCACATGGCAGCTTTGAGAACAGCAGCTGAGCAGCTAACTCAACCTCTTCTCCTCCCAGCTCTCCCGTCACCAAATAGCGACTGTCCAGTTCTTTATATTGAATACTTTATACTGAACATAGCTTCAGACCTGAGGTAACGTGTGCTCGTCTGCTTCCAAGCTGGACCTTTCCATGCCTTATAATCCTGTCTGTCTGGGCTGTAGTTCTTAGCAACAACCCTCCTAAATGTCAACTGGCAGGCAACTGAAGGAAAATCTTAGAAGCATACTGACTCAGGGCTAGTTGATGGGAACTCTTTCCCCGACGCCCTCTCTAAAGGTCATTGATTCTTCTGAGTGTCAGTCAATTCAGTATTTGGCAGTAAAACCTGTATTAATAGGAACATATGAAAAATGAGATAAAGAATGGCTAGGTTCCTGTTAAGCAAGGGTTTGTTGATCTTAGTTGCTAACAGTGTGTTATAAAAACCCTTTACCTGAAGAACCTTCTCTTCTTTCAGTGAACAGTATGTTGTTCCCTTTGAAAGATTACTCTGTCATTTCAGTAATCAGTGCAAGTTTTGACAGGAAGGTACTGATAATTCTGGAGACGTGGAGTTACTTGCTGCATCTGTGGCATGTCCTTTTCTTAGCATTTTAATTAATTGTCTTAGTCTACAGGTCCACGTTTTTAATAGAAAAGGTTGAAATGAGTTTTTAAAAGATTAGTTTATGAGATATTTCTAAGCTCTATGAGGGCAGCTGCTGCATCTCGATTACTTTTATCTCAAGCACTTGGCCCAGAGCCTGGTGCATAGATGATGCTTATTAAATATTAGTAGAATCAATAAATGTATGTCTTAAATTTAATATCTGCAATACTATGTTATCAGTTCTATCTCAAGAATAATACAAGCCAAACCTGTTGAACCAGCACTTAAAGTTAGTTTTAAAAAGCAATTGTGAGCTAGGAGCAGTGGCACACACCTGTAGTCCCAGCTACTTGGGAAGCTGAGACAGGAGGATTGCTTGAACCCAGGTGTTCAGGGTGTAGTGTGTTACGATTGTGCCTGTCAATAGCCACTGAACTCCAGCCTGGGCAATGTAGCAAGACCTCATCTCTAAAGACAGATACGTTAGATGGATGGATGGACAGAATGATGGAACTGTGGTAAACATAGTTAATAATAGTGTGTGGTACATTTCAAAATTGCTAAGAGTAAATTTCAGATGTTCCCACCAGAAAAGATGATAAATATTTGTGATGACAGATGTTAATTAGCTTAATTGTTCCACATTATACTCATGAATCATGTCACTTTATATCCTATAAATATATACAATTATAAATTGTTGATTTACAATAAGTTTTTTAAAAAAATTAATTGCATATATCACTGATATTCTTAAACCCTTATTTGGAAGCTTTCCATGAATAACTTAAAATTGCTCTATTCTTGGCCGGGTACGGTGGCTCACGCCTCTAATCCCAGCACTTTGGGAGGCCAAGGTGGGCAGATCATGAGGTCAGGAGATAGAGACCATCCTGGGCAACATGGTGAAACCATCTCTACTAAAAATACCAAAAAATCCTAGCTACTCGGGAGACTGAGGCAGGAGAATAGCTTGAATCAGGGAGTTGGAGGTTGTAGTGAGCCGAGATCGCACCACTGCACTCCAGCCTGGTAACAGAGCAAGACTCCGTCTCAAAAAAAAAAAAAAAAAAAAAAAAATTGCTCTGTTCTCTAGATGTCCCCAGTGTCCTAGACAGCACCAGTCAAGAATAGTTAGTGTTTTTTAATTGGGACTTCTTCCTGACCCTGAATTTTACTTGACTTAGTTTTTCCTTTCTCTCTTAATTCACAGAGCAGTAAAGAAGCCCTTTCCGAGGTGAACGCCACGGGAGTGGCCATGCTTTTCTCTGCCGGGACATTTCTTTATGTTGCCACAGTACATGTCCTCCCTGAGGTGGGCGGAATAGGGCACAGCCACAAGCCCGACACCACAGGAGGGAGAGGCCTCAGCCGCCTGGAGGTGGCAGCCCTGGTTCTGGGTTGCCTCATTCCCCTCATCCTGTCAATAGGACACCAGCATTAAATGTTCAAGGTCCAGCCTCGGTCCAAGGCCGTTTGCCATCCAGTGAGAACAGCCGGCGAGGAACAGCTACTCACTTCCTCAATCTCTTGTCTCGCCTTGCCCATCTCCACATGTATTCCTAGAGTCCGGAGGGAGGTGAGATTAAAACCGGAGTAATGGAAAAGCTTTTAGAGTAGAAACATGTTGCAGTTAGCTGTAGACATCCCATTGTGTTATCTTTGAAAAGGCCCTTGACATTTTGAGTTTTAATGTTTCTCTTGACCCTATTCTCAGGGAAGATGAAATTTAGTTTTAAGGAAAAGAGGAGAATTTCATACTCACATCAAAATAGTAATTATGAAAATACAGTGTTCTGTAATTCAGTTTCTGCTTAGTTTAGAGGCTCTGCCACTTTATCCATTGATTTTTAACATGGTTCCCACCATGTAAGACTGGTGCTTTAGCATCTATGCCATATGCCTTGATGGAAGGTCATAGCACCCACTCTCTTAGATGCTAAAGGTGATTGTAGTTAATTTGGGATTAGAGTCAGGAAAATGATGGCAAGACACATTGAAAGCTCACTTTATACTCAAAAGAGATACCCATTTAAAGGGGATGTCTAGAGGGACTTAAACAGCTCCTTTTGCACATGCCTCTCTGAATCCAGCCTGCCATTCCATCAAATGGAGCGGGAGGGGTGGGAGTAGCCTCTAAAGAGGTGACTGGTATTTTGTAGCATTCCTTTTCAAGTTCTCTTTGCAGAATATCTGTCTCCACATTCTTAGAGAGGAGCCAAGTTCTAGTAGCTTCAGGCCTAGGCTTTCCTTCAGGAACAGTCAGATCACAAAGTAGCTTTGGAAATTAAGGGATATTAAACTTTAAGTGATTTTTGGATGGTTATTGATATCTTTATGGTAGCCTCCTTTAAAAGTAAGACTACCAAAATATATATGTATAGTTGTCTTTTTTTTCTGTCTCTCTTATCAGATCAGCAATCCCTCTAGGAACCTAAATACTAGGTCAGCTTAGGGGACACGGTGTCTGCTCACATAACCACCTGTAGCAAGATGGATCATAAATAAGAAGTGTTTGCCTGTTGAGTTAAAGCTTATTGGAATCGTGTCTCTTGTCTCTTTGTCTTTTCCATGCTTTTCTCCTAACTTTTCCCCTAGTCTCTCCTCCCCACAATTTGCTGCTTACTGCTGGTGTTAATATTTGTGTGAGATGAATTCTTATCAGGACAACCACTTCTTGAACTGTGATGATGAAGATAATATCTTTATTCTTTATCCCCCTTCAAAGAAGTTACCTTTGTGTCAAATGCCGCTTTGTTAGGCCCTTAAAGTATCACTCTGTCATGTGTAAATTGACACAATCACTAATATTCTGGTAATTTAAACAATTGAGATAGCAAAAGTGTTTAACAAATTAAGATAATTTTTTTTTCTCATTTGCCAAAATTTGTGTAAACCCTGTCTTGTCAAATAAGTGTGTAATACTGTATTATTAATTTATTTTTATTTTCTGTACCATTTCAAAACACATTACATTAAGGGGGAACCGAGACTAGTTTCTTCAGGGCAGTGGATGTAGTAGTTTGTAAAAATGTTTTCTATGACACATAAGCCAGCATGCCTATGATTTCTTTATTTCCTTTGTAAATTTGTCACTGGATCAGCGGCTGTGGAAATAAAGCTTGTGAGCCCTCTGCTGGCCACAGTGAGGAAAGTAGCACAAATAAGATACAGTTTTATGTAGTCACTGGCAACAATTGCATACAATTTTACAACCAAGAGAAGGTATAGGATGGAAAGTCCAAATGACTTAATGACTTCCTTGATTGGATGGTAACAGCTGACTTTATGAGAGATTTGAGGTTTCATCTGGTCCTTCAAACTATATGGTTGCCTAGATTCTCTCTGGAAACTGACTTTGTGAAATAAATAGCAGATTGTAGCGTCTGGTTTGGTTTGGACAGTAGTGCTTTCTATCATATTGTTGTGTGCAATGGTCAGTAAATTGTTCTGCTGGCCAAAGCCTCTTTCAGCAGTGCCTTGCCATCATGCTTAAAAGTTTGGCTAGTATATCTTGCTGGATGGAGCCTTGAATTTTGGCAAGGATTGAACCATCTGACTTCCAAATTTGCCTTCCCCTCTGGACTTCACTATTAACAAGCAAACCTTTCACGGCCCTCTTAGCTCTCAGAAGCTATGAATGGGCTTTCCCAGATTTTAAAGCTGCTGCCTCAGGAACTACTCATTTCTCTCCTGGTCGGTAGGCAGAAATAGCCATACTAATCTCATAGGGCTCAAATGCATCTTCAGGCAGCAGGGAACCAAGCAGCATGGCACAGGCCTCCTTCACTGGAAGAAGAGCTTGCTGTGGTGGTGGGCAGTGTTCCAGGAGAGGCCATGTCCATGTTCACTTCTTGGCACATTTCACTTCCGTTTTCCTCTTGTTTAAAACTGCCTCTTTAGATGTGGATGCCTTAATGCTGTAACATGTTTGAAAACATTGGCAGTACTTAAGTTGCTGCCATGATTACAGATGGAAATATTGGCTACCAAAGAGATGCAATTGATGACGAAAAGCATGATTCATCTTTCCATATAACCAAAGTTAATCTTAATTGCAATTTGACTCCCTTTCCTTGGTAGGGGTAGACTTTCCTCAGATTCCAAGTGCTCTCTTAAATGGCAAATTAAGCTAAAGAATACTACTGATCCATTCCCCCCACTTCTCCAGTTAATTGCTTGTCAGTTCTTATTTCACAAAAGCAGTGATGTTCCAAGTTTGGTTCAGTTTTCCTGTGCACACTGTTGCCAAATTTTTTTTTAGGCAAAGATTCTGCACTGGAATGTAGATAGTTGGAAACAGTACTACCTACAGAGGTGACGTGTTTTCTCTTTGTCCCCCTTTCACCTTTTTCTTTCCCAGTTCAAAACAGCCAAGTCAGCCCTTTTCTGGTATTTTGAATCATTAGAGAAAAGAAAGGGAGTAGCTGTTTTGAGTTGTCCTTTCTTTGCAGAAAGGAGAAAATGTGATTATGATTTTTTTTTTTTTACCAGCCTACTTCTAAGTGTCACTGCCTGGTTTTTCTCTTTTTCAAGGATTAGAACTAAGAGGACACACCAGCATCGGAGTGTATTAAGCCCCTGAAACACATGGTAGCTAGGGACTGAACACAGGAACTCTATGACAGCAGCACAAACCCCCAAAGAACGTGCCGGCCTTGTGGGTCCCTGAGCCCCTTGGGAGACTGAGAATAATGACCAGATTCATCCAGAACTGCTGCAGCGTTAAGTGAGAATCCTCTGTAGTTGTTCTACAGAGGAACCTTCCTTGCATTAGAAAATTTCTGCTCAATACAGAATGGTCCACATCACTCAAAGTGCACTGTTGGAGATGCTATGAAATTAAAACCAGTGATGTAACCTGTTTGTACCTGAGACATCTAGATTCACTCCAGGACACCTGAAGGAAATGTGTGACTGGTGGGAAAGAACTAGACAACCATTTAGGAATTCTCTCTGCTCAGCCTAACCCAGTGGCTTAACACAAGGAAATTGGCTTTGATCTTTTTTTCTTGTGGTATCTGCCAGCAAGTTAGAAATCTCATGGGTTAAGACTGCAGTTCCCCTGGTTCAGTAGCTGGAACAGTGATTTTAAATGTCCCCTTTTTTGGATCCCTTGTAAACATGAAATCATTCCATGGATGGCTGCCTTATAATTTTGTCTCTTTCCACTTTAATTGTGAATGGTTAAAAAATGCTGTTTTCTGATATTAAATTTTTATTAGTGCATACCTTAATCTGAGTGGCTCATTACTTATCCTGTTGGCAGTCTGGTTTTTTTATTGATGACCAGAATTGACTTATATTTGAACATCAGAAACAGGAATGAAATGTTGTGATGGATGGTAGAAAGCTGTACCTACTACAGGCACATCCTTTAGGGAAGGGAGGGAGACAGGAGAGAGGGGAAATTAAGGACTTGATAGACCAGTCTGCCCTGAAAGACACAAATGCACTAAGTTTTTTTTGCCTTGCTCTTGCTAGGAAATGCTGTTTATGAAGGTAGCTCTCTCTACTCTCAGAAAAGAAAAACAGGCAACAGATCTGAACCACAGTGGATTCGTTTCAAAGGGCAGAGTTGTTTATATGAGTAGATAGATTTATGAACAACTGACCCTGGAAATTAAAGAGATTTAATTAGAAGTGTGACTTGTGAATTTGATCAATGTTTTTCTCCCTCTGTGGACTTATGTTTAGTCATTAGATTTCATTAAATACTACTGGCCCACTTTGTGCTTATTTTCTATATGTATCACATGTATAGCTAGTTAAAAAGATTGTGCTCAGGGCGGACACAGGGGCTCACGCCTGTAATCCCAGCACTTTGGGAGGCTGAGATAGGCAGATCACCTCAGGAGTTCAAGACCACCCTGGCCAACATGGTGAAACCCCATTTCTACTAAAAATACAAAAATTAGCTGGGCATGGTGGTGGGTACCTGTAATCCCAGCTACTCTGGAGGCTACCCTTAGATCAAAACACACACAACTGCAACACCTGGGCTTAGCCAAAATAGCCACCAATCCTTTTATTTCCTGTTCACATGATCTGTTTTTTAATCTGGATGCTGGTTATAGGGTTATAGCAGGTGAAAAAGCAATACACAGGATTTGTGCTTTTTACCTTATGTTATAGCTGGATAAAAAGTCTTTAAAAGTCAATGTCACCAGGCATGATGGCTCACACCTGTAATCCCAGCACTTTGACTGGCTGAGTTGGGAGGATTTCTTGAGCCCAACGAGACCAGCCTGGGCAACATAGGGAGACGCCCATCTCTACAAAAAAAAAGATTATAAAAAATTAGCTGGGTGTGGTGGCACACACCTGTGATCCCAGCTACTTGGGAGGCTGAGGTGGGAGGATTGCTTGATCCCAGGAGGCCAAGGCTGCAGTGAGCTGTGATCATACCACTGCACTCCAGCGTGAGCAACAGAGCAAGAGCCTGTCTCAAAAAAAAGTCACTAATATTTAAAATATATGTAATATTCTAAATTAATAGAGTCTAAAGAGATGAAATAATCAAATTAAGTATATGAACCTGGAGTGGAGGTTCCTTTTTGATGACACCAGATCTGAAATTTGGAAAAGTTCAAAAAACATGTTGGGGATGATGGCTGCACAATTCTGTGAACCTAGCAAAAGCTATTGAATTGTACACTTAGAAAATGGGAACTCAACATGAAGGGCACATTCCTCCACAAAGCTGTCCTCCAGACACCAGCAGCAATTTCAGGGGTCTCCAGGCCATCCTTACATCTGACTAGCTGGCTACAAATTTGGAGTTTCCCATAGCCACTCTCTGTTTCAGTAATTTGCTAGAACAACTCACAGAACTCCAGAAAGCACTGTTATGATTGCAGTTCTATTACAGAAAAAAGAACAGACCAGAAACAGAAGAGGTGCCTGGGGCAAAGTCTGGGAGGGTTCCAAATGTGAAGCTTCCCTCATTCTCAGGGACCCATTGCCCTCCCAGCATCGAAGCCTGACAATATCCTGACCAGGGATGCTCTCCTGAGCTTTGGTATCCAGAGCTTTTATTAAGGCTTCATTATTTAGGCATGCTTGAATCATCGGCTATGTGGTTGAACTCAACCTCTAGCCCCATTTTTCCTTCCTGGAGATTGGACTGGTATCATAACTCAAAGCCCCAACACTAACTACATGGTTGGCTTTTCCGTGTGGCCAGCCCCCAGCGG